CGCGTCCGTGGCCTTCCCAGCACTCCGATCGCGAGAGCAGTACAAGCCATAGAAAGAACATCTCTTAGACACCTCGGAATAAATACAGCCCGCGGGCACGGGGGGGAGGCAGCGTGAGCTACACATGCAGCGACGGGACACTCACAAGCAGCCGTGACAACAGAGACGTGTGTGGAGGTGCGCTCGGACTGGGCTGCGACGGGACGCGAAATGTGTGTGAAGACGGCTGGGGGGCTGGCCGGGCACGGTGCTCTTCTCCACAGAAGCAGGCGGGGTAGCCCAGCTACATCTCTGTTTCTGCTAAGAGGCCGTCACCAAGCCCTGACGTCATCAGGACCATCTGGGAGCTGGAATCTGTGTCGAGAGAGAGAAAAAAAACATGTAGACTGAAGACCACAGGGCTGCAGTCCAGCTCCAGAGGCGAGGATGAGGAATTAGAGTGCTGCAGGGTGGGAAGTGAACTGCTGAGAGGATTGTGAGATTAAGTAGTAACTAGGTCTGCTCTGGCCGCACAGCAGAACAGAATCGATGTTTGGGGAGGGGAGGAGGCAGAGACAGCAGCAGGAGCCCAGGGTGGGCATCTGCATTTGTTATCTTGGCTGTCGAGAGGAACATCAGCTCTGAACCCCCCCCAATGCTTCCAGGTGATACTGGTTGTGCTGACCCAGCTGTTTCCTTACTCAGCTTTGTGCAGGCCTTTAAATCTGCACTCACCAGGCATCTTTTCAGCTAGAGAGATGGTGTCCAGGTGGGATGGGCTAGCAGACTGCAGGCCAGCCAAACCCACACAGGGTGGTGGCCTTGCCTTCCCAAGAGCAGGGAACGCAGCAGGCAAGCAGCCATTTCATGGCAGCAGACGCCTGGAAATCATGATTTTCTGTGCTGCATGAATGGAGGGTTTGTGCAGCCTTCTCCTGCCTGCCTCAGGAAGGTGAGGGCAGCTTGCTGGCTTTGCCATGGCACAGAGCTCCAGCCAGGAATGCTGTGATTCTCCCCATGCCAAGGGAATCAGCTGCAAAGAGGATGGGCACACATAACAAGTGAGAAACTCAGCAGGGCACCAGATTCCCATCCAGAAGCCTTTTTAAACAGAAAAAAAAAAAAGTTTTTTCTCCTCCTGTGTGAGGGAGGAGACCTTTAGTGCCTGTGTGCTTCAGATTGAGTCTTACATGTTCAAAACTGCTGCATGGAATCTCTATTTTGAGGATCAGTTTCTGGAAACTGGATCAGTTTCTGGAAACTGGCTAGAGCTGTCAGTAAAGGACTTTTATAGATCTAATAAACAAGGATGTTGTGAGGTCCAGGGCATGGTTGTGGTTATCTGCTGCTAGTCTGATATGAAAACTGGGAGGAGGGAAGGATAACAAAAGGTAAAAAAACCCCTCACAACAAAACAAAACCAAACCCAAACCAGGAGAATCACAAGGTAGGCATGGCAATATACAATGTCATATATACAAACAACACACAAGAAGCTCCTGTTTTATCCATAATACACCTTATTTTCTGTTGCAAGCACCAGACAGGCTGTGGCACCTGGCGAACCCATCACATTTGGAACACAGAGATAGGAATAGCTGATGTTCTGCGGATTGTAGGGAGGTTCTGGAAGCAGTGAGGAATGACATGAGTTTTGGCTAGGCTACCTGGCAAAGGCCTCGGAGATCTTTAATACTCCTGCCCTTGAGTTTTAAGACTTTGCACAAAGATTTTGTTCCTGCAGCATCAGGGAAAACGCCTCTGAGGTGCCATTTCACTCTTTGCAGCAGCCGCATTGTCCTTGGAGGCTGCCTCTCCAAGCACAGCTCAGCCCAACGCTATTTAACATGAAGGTTGTGCATGGAGGCTGTATAGAGTTTGCAGGGAGAAGGGACAGACCCCATTCATCAACTCTGCCATGAGACCAGTGGTGCTGGAAACACCCCAGACAACCCAGCTCCTGCCCATCAGCCCCTGTCCACAGTCCAGGTTTCAGAGCTCTTACTTGTCTGGCAGATCCAGGGGTTCTTCTCCCTGGCTGTGACTTCACGAGCCTCCGTCTCCTCCTCTTCCTCACCCTCTGAAAGCAGGTCAGAGATTTGCTGCTGCAGCTCAGGACTAATGTTATTCTCTGCCAGGATGAGTGTCCGCAGGGCTGTGGGGTAATTCTCTACCATGTCCAGCAAGGTCTAGGTGGAGAGTGAGACAAAGAGGCTGACAAGCAGCATGAACAGCAGTTGGCTGAGCAGAAATGTTGTCTCCCTGCAAACTCTAGCCCTCCTCTTCTTACCCTTACTTACCCTTATTCTTGACCTCTCTTTGCCAGGCTTTCTGAGGGCCTGACAGCTTCCCATCTTTCTATGGGAAGAGCTGAGGCTGGATTTCCTGGCTCTGTCTAAAGAGGAACGGACTGCTCTACACCCTGTTGCTGCCTCACATCTAGGCTCCCCCCCTCTCACTACTGGGAGCTGGGGCTCTGAGAGGAGAGCCTGGGCTACCAAGCCTTGGCCCCTATCTGCCTACAGACCTTTAGCTCTGATCCACAGTCACAATTCCCATGCCTTACTCCTTCCTAGAAAACTGAACTACGAGCAGAGCTGCCATGTTTCTCCCTGCTGACTTGAGGGGCGTCCAAGAGCCCTAGGTCAGAACTGTGGCTTACAAGCTCCTCCTGTAGCCAAATGCAATGGGCCAGGGGAAAGCAACAGCACCCCTGGGTGCAGGGAGGGAAGGGGGTGCATATGGACTCTGGGAGGGGGATAGAGGCAGGCTCAGGTCCTAGGGATTCTATAGATGGCCAAGACGTATGTCCTTGAGACATCAGTGATGCTGTAGAGTAACTGTAGGCTCCCATACCTGGGCTGACTGATTGGTAAGTCCTGTTCCCTCCAAGTCCAGAACTTCGAGGGTTCGACTGGAGGCCACAGCGACGGCGAGCATCCCTGCCACCTGGTCACCTGTGGGAGAAGCAAATCAGGGCTCTCAGCAGAGCCTGCCTCCCCTCGTGTAACACCACATGCCCTCATAGGCCTGGGGCTGTCAGGGAAACATCCTCCAAGCATTTCTGCCAACAGATCACCTCCAAATCTTAGCTACCTTGGTGGAAAAAAAAGAGCTGTTAACTGAGAAAAGAGCCAAGGTGAAGGTGCACCATTTTGTGGTTACAGGAACACTCACTGGTTGTCTGGGGGGGAATATGAAGGAACACAGCGAAATTGGTTTTATTCCCCAAGGAACCGTAACTTTCCAAATCTCTTTCCTACTCAGGGATGCAAGGGGCTTTAACAGCCCCTGTAAGGCATCCCAGATTTAGAAAAAACAGCTGAATACCCCCGTCTAGGAGGAGGCTGAGGACAGAGAGAGGACTCCACACCAGCTGATGGACTGCCTCTCTGGAAAGTGGGCAGACTTCTGTGGGGTGGGTGCAGCAGGACCAGGAGCACTCAAGATTGATGCTGGTGAAAAGACAAGACTCCAGTGTGCACTCCTGACATTCCCTGGCAAGTGCCCAGATACCACAAAGCTGTGACACCTTCTCATGGGAAAAAAAACAAACAAACCAGGCTGCTGTCAGGTAACAGCCTGGAGCCTTTCCTGCCCAAGAGGAGGTACCTGGTCAGACAGACAGGGCCTGGAGGGAGTCTGTTTCCAGACAGGGTGAGGAGGGGAGCACCCTGACGATGCTCAGGGAGGCACGGCCTGGTCTCCTCTTCACCACCTTGTAGCAGAGCTGGAGAGAGTTGGTTTCTATGGCAACGAGTGCCAGGCTCTCCTCCTCCTCCCCGCTATGAAGGGAAGATGATGGGGGGAGCACAAGGACACACTGCATGTGCCAAGCCAGCATCAGTGCCCAGGGCTTCAGGATGAGGGGAGATGACAGCAAAGGTGGTGAAGCAGGCAAGGCACAACTTCCTTTCTGCACCTCCCCAAAGGGCATGTGTAGCCACCTCACACAAGCAGAGCAGCAAGGCTGGCTTGCCCTACAGCCAAAGCTGCCTGGCAGGGTGAACTCACTGCTGGGGAACTCAAGACACCTATGCAAGAAGCTGCCCCATCTGGTTGGTGATGCTCTACCACCTTTCTAGACCTTGGCCCTCAGTCACCCACCAATGCAAATCACACAAATGCTGAAAGGCAGGAGCACAGTGTCCCCTGCTCCTCCTCCCTGGCCCTCCCAGCTTACCCAGGGGATTGTAGTCCAGGTTCAGCACACGGAGCTGTGAGCTGTGAGCCACTGCAATGGCCAGGCGTCCCCAGCCTTTGCTTGTGACGCCTGGGTTGGCACTCAGCGTTAGCTCTTTGAGGCCTGGAGAAGAGACAGAAGCCAAAACAGAGCCTTAGGGTCACCAAAGCAGTCTCAGGGGAAGTAGTTCAGATGACCAGAATAGCAATGAGTCGTGTCCCCTGTACTCTGATGGGTTAAAGGGTTTGGTTTGCTCTGACAACCATCACCACATATTGTGCTGATCAGTGAAATATTTCACTGCCTTTAGCAGTAGCCCCTCATTTGCCCACATGGTGCCTGCCCCATTTCTCTACTCTCCCAACCTGTGTCCCACTTACCCTAAATAGCAAACACAATGGAAACAAGTAAGGGTGTGCAAGGTGACTGACTAGAGAAGGAGGTGACACAAGTTGGAGAGAGGATAATGAGGACAGTAGGCTCTGAAACTTGCACCTGGGATGGGTGCCCAGCAGAGATAACAGCATCAGTGGCACTGTAAGCACACAGAGAAGGTGCTAGGGAGAGGTGGAAAGCACCTGGAGAGTCAGGAGAGAGGGGTGGTGTTACTTCAGCATGTGACAGATCTCAGCTTAACTGGCCCACTAGCCTCTGACCACCAAAGATCATCCCTGCAAAGACCTGAGTCTTGGATCTAAGGCTATGACCATGCAATACACACTCACAGAGAGCACCTACCAGCAAGGGAAATTCCCAGGCACCAACAGTAAAGCCAAGTGCTGAGGTGGGGGCACAGCATACATTTATCTATGGTCATGATCAACACGGAAACTCAAAATAATAAATTGAAAGTCCAGACTGTCACCTCCTCCAGTTTCAAATGCTCTTGTCATGAACCAGAAGCAACCTGTTGGTCCCTGAGCTCCAAAATGCCATCAGGAATAAATCAATAGCAGAAAGTCCATGCCTGTATGAGAAAACCGCTCCTTTCTTGCTTGGCTTTTCTGCTTTACTTAAGTTGGAGAAAGAAATTCCTCAGCCCAGGCAGATCACAGAACCTGCCTCCTCCAGGCCGAGGACTTACTGCTGCATACACCTGCTCTACGTGGAAGCTCCACCGGTCATTGTGCAGCCCACAGCTGCTGGTGCTTACCGGACTTGGCCCCGTCAGGTGGCAGGAGCCCACAGATAAGGTTGATGCCTTCATCACCCAGCATGCAGTCTCCTAGGTCCAGAGCCACCAGTGAGGGGTGGATGGAAAGAGCAGGGTTGAGGAGGGCCAAGCCTGCATCTGTCAGGGGACTCCCATGGAGGCTGTGCAGGTAAAAGGGAAAATTACTATAGAGCCTTCTTTCTGGGGGCTAAGTAACCTGATGGGGAGGGGCACGCAGATGAAATGAGGAGGATGACAAATCCTAGCCCTGGGATGGGGAGAAGCCTCAGCTGTGACCTCTGCAGTGACCAGGACAGGGAGGTGCAGGGGAAGCCGGGGGTGCAGGGGCAGCCCCCTCCGCCGGGGCAGCTGGGTTGGAGGGGCCGGGAGTGAGAGCCGGGGCCATGCCCGAAAGCCGGGGCTGTGCCCAGGTGGCAGAGGCAGAGCTGGGTGAAGGCTGCAGGGTTACCCTCTGCAGCGTCAAGGGCATTTTTTCTCCAACGAGGCTCGAATTCAGGGGCTGGCGAGGAGCTGCGAGCCCCCGAAAGATGCGTCACCGCGCGGGAGGGTCCGGGAGCACCCCCGCAGCCCCCGGCCCGGCTGTACTCACAAGAGGGACTGGACGGAGCGGTTCGCCTTCAGGGCCTCGGCCAGCTGCTTGACGCGGTTGATGTTGGAGACGATGCCCAG